TTAATTTCCTTCGAAATGGCAAATTTTCAACCAAATAGCGCACAACAGACGTTATTCGCTCATTTTATTATGAAAATGCGGGTTTATGTATCTCTTTGTAATGCCCTTTCTCCTAAGCCAGTTGTCGAATGCACTTGAAATTTCATATTTACGTATTTCATTTATTCCAGATTACGAATATAAAACTAATTCTAAATCACCGACGAGGCCGATAATGACCCTTAACGCCCCTAGTCCTTTAGCATTGTCTGATAATGTTCTTTAATACACACATATGTCCTTAGACAACGGTATGGCTTTCTTAATATGTGTTAAAGGTTTTTTTCTAACGCCTTTTTATATCTACTCATATGCAGGTCCATTCAATAATCCTTCTGATTTAGTTTATTTTTACTGTCCTTGCAATGAAACTGCTTTCGTTTTCTGATAATCAAACAGACTTTCATTACAAACAATATTCCTTGATGAAAAAGGTTGTTTAAAAACTTTTTAATGGAATATATTCCTGGATTGTATATATTATTTATGTAATGAAAAAACAATTCTGAATAATAGGTAATGTCTAATCTTTTTATGGAAAATGTGAAAATGGGAACAGTGATTAGGAAAGAAATTTATCTTACCAGATAAACAATCTTTGGTGCAATCATTGCTCCCACACGTGAAATAGAATTATGAAGTCCAAATCCGATGTTCCTAAAACAAAAGAAAACTGTAGCCTATCAAAATCAATATTAAGAAGATATGCAGTGCCTTCCCGTTCATTCATGTGGTATCTTATTACATGTTTCGTAAACATGAAAATGTCAGAAACTCAGGGGTTGATTCGGCACTTATTCCTCAGCTGTATTTGTATAAAGCAGCATGTATTAAGTTTTTAAATCATAACACAATTTATTATCAAATTACAAAAAGCATATGAAGTAAAATGTTTAAATATTAGATAAACTTTATCTTCATCACATCATTTTCGTTTCTATCAATTACCGGATATTGTTTGAAAAAAATGTATTGTACGGAGAAAACTTAAAATAGGCTTTAAGTCGTGATTTTCAATAAAATTTGTTGAAATTGAAAAACATTAAAACAACATTAAAATAACTGTAGTGGGGAGTTTTATAAGTGGTTTCTTAACACATGTCTCTTAATACATGTGATCTCTGTAGTAGGTTTTTCTGTAAATATCAAAAGAACGGACATGCAAGCGAAGCATAAATAATATTGAATAGAAGAAAAAAAAGTTTTTATTTATCACATTGAATGGTTCCATTTCATAGTTACAGGTTTTGACAGTGGTAAAGAGATCCTTATCTTGCCTTTAAATGGCCGTGAAGAATAGAAATTGTGATGGAACTACTAACCTTACAACAGTGGGGTAGGTTTCTGTAGTCAGTAACATAAGGGAGGCCCAACCTGATGCAACACATAGCTTAGCCGCCAACGCAAATCCATTGATCAGTTGGTCTTTTATATCCAGGTCTGCAAACAACAACAGCGGTTATATGATTTTCTTTTGGTTTTGTTTTTCCTATTTGATTTCTTTCTTGTCATTGTGTGTTTCGCCTTTAATGAATTGATAGACACTTGGATACCGGATAGATGACAAAAGACAATGAGGCTCTGCCGAACTCAGAGGAAATATCATATGAATTTTAAACGAAAAAGATATCCTTTTCATATCATTGCCAAGAATGTTTTCGATTTTTTTTTATCTGATCTCCAGGTCTGTGACGTCAACACTTTCCAATGTGACATCATCTCACTGACTTGACGCAATGTCTACTATGTCACTTGTTTTCAATGTGACATCACAATGACCAGACTTCGTGTTAAATGTTGTTATAAATAATGTGTAGTTACCACTAATCTCTGCAGCTGCCACAACCAAACCGGACAGTCCTCCTAGTAGTAATAACCCCGATGTCGTTCTTTTGCGACCAAACCTGTGTAAATAAATAGACTCATCTAACGACAATCCCAGGCAACTCCCTTTTACGACCGAACTTGCGAACGTAATTAACTCGTCTAAAGATAATAAATTACTTATCTTAATGATCCCTGTCCACTGCACTCCATTTTTCGTATACAAAGTAACATCTTCCTAAGTTCGTTATTAGATACAACTGCACATGTAGCTCAGTCGGGCCAAGACAGTTCAGTTGATCAGCTAGCTCAGTCATTAGAACGACAAGATACAAATCTATATTCCAGTGTTCGAACCATGGTCTATCCCCGCTGAATATTTTTCATCTTTATTTA